ACAAACAAATCAATGTTCAATACATCCGATCAAGCGATAATGCAGCAGATTTGTTTACGAAGGCGCTTCCGACGACAATATTTCGAAAGCACGTGCACAATATTGGGATGAGGCATCTTTGGGATTTGTACAGATGATAACTCGAGGGGGAGTATGTGTGGCTGTACTCTTTTTTCCTTGTCTCGGTTTTTTCCCACAGGGTTTTTCCAGATAAGGTTTTTAACGAGGCAGCATAAACGCACATTTAATAGTGGTAATTCCAAGGGGGAGTGTTGTAATAAGTGGAATCTTACCACTAACAATTTTATTAGATTATCTTATGTGTATAGGAAGATGTGCCCATTGGCCTATAAAAGAAGGCCAAACCATTGTAATGTTTGTACATACGAAAAGGAAGAAGAGAGATAGGAAAAATTTGTTATAATCTATATCCGGTTTTTACATTGTGTTCTTTATATTCCTCGTATTTTATAACAGTACACAATAATATGCTCTCTTCCCCTGTTATTATTCCTGGACAACATTAAAAATGGTACACAATACCCATTGAAGGTCTTGATTTTGTGTATCACACCTCCATCGAGCAACGATATGAATAAAAAGATCAGTATACTAAGTTCAAAGTTCAATACACTGGAAATGTGACTGGAATTCAAACCAAAGTTTCATAATAAGCTGAACAAGAACGAGCAAGCAATAGGCAGGCAAGATCAGCAGAGCTGAGAAAAAACATATCAACCACATTATAAAGGCTTAGGAAAACTCTAACATCCATAAAGCTTCCATCCTTGCCACAAGCTCTAGATATTCACAACACGAGCTTAGATGAGAACTCCGCTGCCAATTCAGACAACTACAGCTGCAACTGATTTGCACATGAAGAAAAGATGCTATACTTTCAAAGATTTCTCATTCCTCAGAAATTTATGTTTGTTACACACATCCTCGTACACAGTTGTACAAGAAAACTAACGATTACTTTACAGCTGATACATATGATCCTCCCAATAACCCTAAGATATATAAACCAAAAGCAAAACGCGTAATAAAACGTAAAAGAAAGGCTACTGAGAAGCAGCATTAGCCGCTGCCTGTATAGCTCTTTGCAACTCACTCTCCACATCATTGGCAAGACAAACCTCACTCTTCTTATCTTCTTTTTTCCCATTCTCTTCTCTTTCTCCTCTGCCCTTCCTCTTGCTCCTCCACTGCTCGAGCCCGGCTGAAGAAGAAGAGCTCTCCACACAGAGCGGCATATCAACCTGGCCCGTACGGCCCGCTTTCATCTCACCCAACTCGCGCTTCATCTCATTGTTAGCTCTCGATAAAGTATCCAACTCATTTTTCATCCAAAAAAACATCCCCTTTAGCACCTCTAATTCGCCGACATTCTCCTGACTACCTGTTGTCTTCCCACTCTTCACATCATCATCACCATCATCCTCATTATTACGGCCCCCAAAATCGACCCTCTGAATACCAATTTTGTTAATTCTCAAAACCGGCATTTGGTTCGCCACGAAATTCACCCGCCACCTGAAACTCAGCTCGGCTCTCTTGGACACCGGCATCAGCGTCCTCGCCGCCAGCTGGATCTCCCGGAGGATGGAACAATTTCCACCATATTTCTCCACCGGAAGGTCTTTCCCCGGAGACGGAGGACTTTCCGGTTGCACGAATCCCATGGAGGTGGTTGTTGAATCGCATCCGATCGGGGGTTCTTCCGGGTGAGATGAGGTGGATTTTCTGAGAGAGAAAGAGCCGAGCCGCGGCTTGAGGAGGAGAGAGAAGGTAGGGTTTGGGTGGCCGGGGTTGCTGGGGTTGAAGGAGAAGTGAGCGGAGATGACGAGGGGAGAGTTCTTCGGGGAACCGAAGAGGCCGGAGCCCGATTTGAGAGTGACGGTGAGCGGAGGTGAGGTGGCTGCGGCGGCGGTGGCGGCGTAGGCGAGTTTGAGAGAGGGGAAAGAGGGGAAGTTGGTGGAGAGAGAGAGGGAGATGTCGGAGGGGTGTGCGGTGGTGGTGGAGAAATGGGAAAGGAAAGGGAGGTTGAAGATTGTTACAGGGATTTTGGCGCGGAGGAGGAGTGGCGGCGGCTGACGGCAGTCCTCGCCGTGACCATGTTGGTCTTGGAGTTTCAGTGATATCTTCATTTTTTTTTTCTTCTCCGCCCCTGTTGTTCAGCTCAGGTTTTAGTTTTGTTTTATGGATTTTGACTTTGTGTGGACATACAATTTCGCCTTGCGGTCACTCTTAGGACTTATATTGGGAGTAGGGATACAAATCAGACGAGTTGAGTCGAGCATTAGTCTTATCGAGCATGATTAAGTTTTTTTTAGTTGTTCGAGCTCGATTTTTTAGCTCGAACTCAACTCGAAATCAAAATGCTCGAGCTCGACTCAAGTTCGGCTTGAAAATTAGGTAAAATTACCATTAAGTACATATGTCAATATATATAATAAGGGTATTTTAGTAATTAACGTATATCTCGAGCCGCTCGACGAGGCAAAATATAGGCTCGAACTCGACTTGAGTTCGGTCAAACTCGAGCTCGAGTCGAGCTTTGACTCGAGCGCTCGCGAGCGGCTTGTGAGCCGCTCGACTCGTTTGCAGCCCTAATCGGG